ACATTGATATATACAGAACATAAATACCTATTTATAGTGTAAGTGCCCTTCAAATTTGGTGATCACTAGTATTAGTAACTGACACAGTCTAATATTATTGGCTGATCATTATCCTAAATGATACAGAACAGAAAATCTCTCACAATTATGTGTTCTAGTTTGTATATAAAATACAGCATATCAAGCTGTATGGCTGCCATTTATCCTTCCACCAATAAGGCTTATTCTCTTTATGTACTTATCCATCTATGGCTGTAGACATTTATTAAATATTTCACTAGTTATTATGTGTGTGTGTGTGTGTGTGTGTGTGTGTGTGTCTGTCTGTCTGTCTGTCTGTCTGTCTGAGGAGCACAAAGGGCTGTCAGATCTCCTGGAAATGGAGTTACAGGTAGTTGTGAGCTGCCTACTGTGGGTGCTGGAAATCAAACTCAGATCCTTTGCAAGAACAATATACATTCTTCCTTGCTGAGACATTGTCCCAGGCCTAGAAATTAATTAATTTTAACTAACTCAGCAAATATTTGTTGAGCTCCTAGGCACCCACAATATGTATTTTTTAGAATAAATTAAAGTAGAAAAAGATCAAATATTTAAAAGATAAATATGCTAGATTATACAGTAGGTAGAATTTGGAGTCAATGGCAAGGAAGAGGAGAATATAGGGGCAACCCTGGCCCAACCCTCAAGAAGCACCCAATCTACTGAGCAGGGAGGGAATACATCAGCTCCATTGCTTCCCACTCTTCCTGTGTTGATCCAGTATTTCATAAAAGGGCTTCTTTTCCTAACAGACAGCTTTCATTACAACACTAGAAACTTTTGATGACTTCCTACTGTTTAGTCAATCAAGTCAAACTCTCCAGCCTAAAACAAGAAGAAATAGAACATTCAAAGTCTTCCACAAACCAGGTGTGTGGCATGAACCTGTAATCCCAGCACTCTGGAAAGAAAGCAGGAGTATCTCAAATTCAACACTAACCTGGGCTCCATGGAGAGAAGCTGTCTTAAAACAAAGCAAAACAACAACAACAACAACCACAACCAAAAAAGCCAACCATGATCCGTTAGCAAATGCACAAATTAGGAAGAAAGGCTTTGCAACTAGACTGCCTGAATGCCAATTTATTATCAATTGTTACCTACATTTCTTGCTTAGTCTATAAAAAGGAACTTTAAAAACCAGAGGCTTCTTCACTAGGTTATTATGAAGATCAAATAAAATATAACTTGTGAAATGCTCAGCACCTATTTAGCAAATCGTAGGCATGCAAAATATGAGCCCTACCACTCCTTTTAAAAGTTTTTATCTATCATTGTTGCTGCCATTCAATCTTCGTTTCAAGCCTTATCTCCAAAAACACTGTGTAACAACCTGTTTCCCAGGCAAATTGAACTCTTCTCTCTCTCTGTGTGTGTGTGTGTGTGTGTGTGTGTGTGTGTGTGTGTGTGTATGTCAGAGGACAACTTTGTTAAGTCAGTTTTCCCCTACTTTAAGGTGGCTTCTGGCGATCAAACTCAGGCAAGTGCCTTTATCTGCTAAGCTGTCTCACAAGTCCTGAACTAGACTCTTACCATCCCCTAAGCACACACCACTATACTCATGATTCATCAGTCTGTAAAATAGTGTATCATCTTCAAGTATTAAGATTCTCACCATTCTTGAGGCTCTAGCTCAGCTCCACAACACATTACAGACACTCATCACACAAATTCTGCTATATTCATCTTGGTATCCTGTAGACTCTGCAGTGTGAGTTCTAGCCAGTTTGTGGCATACATGATAGTTCTTAATAAAACAAATGTTCAAAGAATGAATTCCTGCTTCCTCTCTCTTGTGGAACTGTTAAGACAGCAGCTCCATATCACAAGTATAAAGACTCTTTTGCAATATTTTGTAAAGCTGGCTAGCAAGTTGTCTATCACCACTGTGGTAATTTCTAATGTAGCGCAGTACCCAAAGCACAGTAGATGCCTAAATATCCAGGGAGTTGAAATGAATTTCACTTTATCTTACAAATTAAATTCTCATTTTATTCACTGTGTTCAAGTACAGCTCAGCTTTTTAAATATATTTTAGTATTTAACCTGCCCATAAACCCATGTCTATTTTCAGTCATTCCAACCTTATCCCATTTGCTATTTCTTGGTTAGAAGAGACAATACTCAAAATTCCAAAAAAAGAAAGAATCAGAAACTCAAATGTCTACAGAACCATAAAACGAAGTAAGAGCACTGCAGAGCACGAAGAACTAGAAAATACATCTGCCTACAAATTTTGCTGAGTTTTTCTATGAAAGAATAGGAGCTTGGTGTTGACAGATCTTCCAACTTTTCAAGACAAGTCAGAAATTCAGAAGTTTGTGTAAAATTTTAAAGACACGACCAAGAAATTCCTTCCAGTCATCTCCACCTAGTCCTCAATCATTCTGAATTAACCTGAGAGCCAAACATATGTAACTATTTAACTATGATGAGTCCCTACTCTGTGCCAGGTGCTGGAGAATGAGACATGAACAGTAGCTATAAATAGCAGCTAACATTTATTGAACATTTTGTAGGTGCTAGGCACTGTTCTATGTTACAGGAATTAATATAACCCTTTTAACAACTCTACTAAGCAAGTACTATTATCTTTATTTTAAAGATGAAAAAGCTAAGGCACAAACGTTATATAAATCTGTTCCAGGTCATGCAATTAGTAAACAGCAAAGCTGAAATTAGGACCTCAGATTCCACCAAAAAGCTTACAATTTGAAAGCAAGTGCTATTCAGTATTTGGTATTGAGATCACTGATTATACATAGATGAAATAATGAAACTGCACCTATCCTCATCCCACACACAAAGTGGATCAGAGATCTAAAAATTAAAGGCAAAACAGTTGAAATTCTAGAAGATAATGTACACAGTAACTTAAAAATCTTGGGGGAGGAAAAGACTGATAAAATTGACAGTAAAATTCCAAACTTTTAGCAACCTTAAACAGATTTATTTTAACTTATTTATTTAAATACTTATATTTTATGTGTATGAGTGCTTTGCCTAAATGAATGTATGTGTACCACATGTATGCAGTATCCATGGAGACCAGAAGAGGGCATTGGATCCCCTGAAATTAGACTGCTGCAAATTGCAAAGTAGGCGTGGGAAACTGAACCTGGGTCATGTATAAGAGCACTGAGCGCTCTTAACCCCTGAGCCACCCCCTCCAGCACCCTCCCACTTTTTTTTTTTTTTTTCATCGCTAAGGTTCAAGTCCAAGGCACTGAGCATGCCAGGCAAATTCTGTCATTCAGCTATGAATTTTCAACTTTCAGAGTTTTAAAATATATAACAAACTGGGAAATGACATCTATAATGCATATATACAATGGTTAATAATTAGAATATGTAAAGGAACACTTAAAAAATAATACAATAGGAAAATATATAATCTAACAGAAAAAGCCCCAGCTGGGTGTAAATTGTGTAAACCTAACACTATCACAGTAACCCACTCAGCAGACTCCAGAACAGTCAATTTGCTGCTATCACTGAACAATAAAAAATATTCAGGGGTCTATGTCATATTGCAGGTACACTGAGCAGGGAGGGGAATCCAGCCAGAAAAGCAAAAGCAAGATGGCAATTCTCCACAGTATAGAAACTGGATGGCAAAGTAGAAGTTGAACATCTAACACATCAAAAGTAAATCAAGGGTTAACAAACATTTGTAAAAGGGTATTTTCAACTGTGTGAGCTGATCTAAATTCTCTGGCCCGACTGCTCAATTCTGGAACACTCAGAGCCATAGACCTACATAAATGAGTGTGGTTGTACTCCAATGCAACATTCTTTACAAAACAGGTGGTTGACAAGCTCCGACCTACGATCTAGTTGGTGAATCTTAATGTAGGAAGCTGTAATTCCTACACTCTAGGAATACTTTCTGTATCTTATCCTACTTTTTATGTCAGCTGACACCTCGAATTTTTCTAAGCAAAAACTATACTATACTGAACAGCTTTGAAATGGTAAAAAACAAAAACAAAAAAAAAAACTTTCTAACTTATTATCTGTGACAATTTTCCATTCATCTTTATTTCACTGAAAAAAATGTTTTTTGACAATCATCATCCAAACTAAAGTTTAAAAATACTACCTTATCACTCACAGTATCAGTTATCAACACCTGGAATGTCTAACTCTACTCAATGTCCACTCTCTGAACCTTAATTTAGGTCATTATTTCTTTACTTTCTCTTCAATCTATCCTCAATAACTCGAAAGAACATCTATTGTGCTGGGAAGCTAGCTCGGTCCTTAAAGTTCTTGTCTTCCAGGCATGAGGACCTAAGCTCCATCCCAGGAATCAATTAAAACAAAATAAAACAAACAAGCAACAAGAAAACAGGCACAGTGGCACATACTTTCAATCCCAGTGCTGAAGAGGCAGTGACAGACAGAATCCTGAGGTTTGCTGGGCAGCTAGCCAACCCTACTTGGCAAATTCCAGGCCATCAAGAGACCCAGCTGATGGATGGATGGATGGATGGATGGACGGACGGACGGACGGATGGACGAATAGACGGACAGACAGGTGTGTGGGTGGGTGGGTGGATGATAGATATAAATGTATGCCAAGTTAAACAGTGTCTGAGAAATGATAATGGAGATTGAACTCTGGGTTCTATACGTATGAGCACACACACACACAGAACATCCATTCTTCTTTTAAAAAGTAAACCTTATCATATATTCCTCCTTTTGAAAGTCTTGTCTCCTCCTCACCTGAGGAGGACTCAGGCTAAACTCCTCAGTCAAGTCTTTAATAGCCTCCGACCTTCCTCATCTTGTCTCTGAGCACACTTGCACATATACTGTGCTCCACCTTATTCAAGGTACGCGTCTTTGAAATTAAAGTTATCAGATCCATCACTTGTGCTGGTAACGGAGTATATACAAGGCTTGGAGGATGGCTCAGGTGGTAAAGTGCTTGTCCACAGGGGCATACAGACCTGAGTTCGGAACTCTAGTCCTTACATAAAGGTAGGTTCGGTGCACATCTGTAACCCCATTGCTGGAGGGTAAAGACTGGCAGATCCTGAAGCTCCTTGGCTAGTCAGTCTAGCTGAATCAATAAGCTCCAGGTTTAGTGGAAGGCCCTGTCTCAAAAAACAAAATGGTTGGGATGGTAAAATGGCTCAGGGGGTAAAGGCACTGCTGTCACATAAGTGGAAAAAGAGAAGTGATCCCCACAAGTCCTCAGATTTCCACACACAGGGCCCCACACTCACACACATACACAAATAACCAAAGAACAGAGAATAAAACGTCAAGGTAAAAAAATAATAGGGTAGCGAAGCAATCAAGAAAGACACCCAAACTCAACCTCTGGTCTCCACAGGCATATACACATACTCGATTAAGGACTGCACATGCACACACGCACAGTGCCAAGGGGATAGTCAGTGTTACAGTGTTTATCTAGCTGAGCAAGGTCCTGACTTCAGTCCCTACCACCACATTCCCAAATAGGTAAGTACACAGATACATCAGCATAAACGATTTTTATACTTAGTAACTATTTTTAATGTAATTGGTTTTCTTTGTAATCGATGTAGTTTATTTTATACAATTAAAAATACTATTTTGAGAGATCCATGCTACAAGGGCCATGGCACACATAAGATCCACCTCTCTGCATTAGAAAGACTCAGAAAACATACATGAATATACATGTGGTGTTGAAAATCCTTACAAATTCTTTTAATTAAAAGTCCCTCCCCATCCCTTTTGTGCTGGGAATAAAACTAAGCACCTTATGTTGCATCCTCGGCAGATACTCTACCATCTAACTACAATGCCAACCCCTGAAAGTTTTTTTCTCCTCTTGAGACAGGGCTTTTACTCTACAGCCCTGGCTCGATTCAATTTTTAAGCTCTCCTGCCTCAAGTCTCCTGTGTCCTGAGATTATAGGTGTGAACTACCATGCCTAGTTTCTAAGGTTTGTTTGGTTGGTTTCTTTAAACTATGTGGAGTCCTGCATTGTCTGTCATTCCTTGGTATATCCATGGACAATGGATTCTCAGGACCTCCTAGGATATCAAAATCATTATATAAAGTGGTATAGTACTTGCATATCCCCTATACCTATAATACCCAATATAATGTAAATGTCATGTAAACAGATGTTAAGCTGTCTAGTTTAGGGAATAATAATAAGAAAAAATAATAGTGACAAGAAAAAAACCTGTATGTTTAGCACAATACAATTTTTTTAAATGAATGCTTCCAATCCTTGATTGGTTGAAGCTGTAGATGCGAAACTCAGGGACATTAAAAATCAACTATGTATCACTGGCTGATTTATCTCACAGTCCATTTGAACTCGAGATTCCCTATTATAACAGAACTTCAATTAAAGTGACATGATAGGGACCCTACGTCTCTATCATCACTCTTTTTTCCTTTCAGGTTTCTTTGTGTTCTTTTGCTGTGCAATAAACACCTAAAAGGGGGGGGAGCATCTTTTTAAACTCTAGAAACGTTTTTTCTTAATGCTTTTTTTTTTGGTACCAATGGAGATCTAGAAAATATCTAATAACTGATTATACTTTTTTTTTATATCCCGCTCAGCCTCTGTACTGACAAACTTGTTCAAACAAAAATTATTGACTCTCTAGTATATGGTGCTGTCTGACTTAGCAAACCCCTTTAATGTGTTGAATGAGGAAGCAGTAGGCCATATCCAGGAGCCCCTGTCACCAACTCCTACTATCTTGGGAAATCAACGATCTTTCTATGTCTCAGGCTAAAATCATAACTTGATCTGAAACCATGACATGATCTCTAAAGCCACCGTAGTTTTTACAGACTCGTTCTTCACCCTTCTAACTAGTTTCAACAAGACCTTTCAGATGACCTCCCCAGGTGACCCTGCTCTTTAAGTAGCGGCTGTCCCCTTCCAGGAAACACACTTTGGGTCACCGCCCCCAAACAGCCGGGTCCCTCCTTTTAAAGACAACTACTTAAGTTGATGGAGGTTCTCTCCATTCCCAACCACTTCCACTCTGTACCTTCTGCTGTCCAGCTCCTACATCCAACCCCGGCCACCCTTTCTTTCCTCATCAAGCTTTTTCCCTTTTCCTGTCGCTGCCTCCAACGGGACTAGAGGCTCCTAGGTCCTGAGACCCTTGGGAGTCATAACGACTGGCCATTCAGCGCCAGGACCTTTCCAGTCTGATTCCCGCGTCAGTACCCCCCACTCGGATACCCGCGTTCGCAACCCCCATTTCCAAGCAATCGCCTCCTGTGCATGCAAAAACTACTCCAGCCCTGACAGCCGGGACTTGGCCCCCAAGCCGCCTCCCCTACCCCCGGGTGCTACTCCGGGGCTCGGAACACTGCGCACGGCCTAACCCAACTCCACGGCCCGCCACCCCCTCAGCCCACCAGCCCCAACGCCGGCCCCGTTCGCTCCGGGGGGTCTTTTCTCCGCGCCCCCAGCCCCGACCTCACGCCCCGCCGGTCACCGGCTCCAGGGCCGCAGCGCCACCCCGCGCAACCCCCGGCCGCCCTGCACTCCCGCAGAGCCCCGACCCCGCACCCTCCCCACCGCCGCCCCGCCGCTCCCGCCCGCGCCCCGCCCGCAGGCCCCGGGCCCGCTCCCCAACATGGCGACGGGGACACGAGCGCGGCGGCGGGTGGGGCGGCTGCGGGCCCGGGCCGCACTCGGGCCGAGCTGCACGGCCGCCCGGCGCCATCTTCGCGCGCCAGGCCCGGGCGGCGCCTCCTCCCCACGGAGCTAGCCGGGCCCGGCCCGGGACGCTCAGCAGGCCCACCCCTTACGGGCCAGCGTCGCCGTCGCCTCACCTGAGCGCGGCCCCGGCCCTCCCGGGCGGGCCTCGCAGCGCCGGCCCGGGCCGTGCGTGCCCGGCGCCCTCGGCGCGTCCGTCCACCCGTCCTCGCGTGCGCCCGTCCGTCCGGCCGTCGGCGCCCGGCCGCCCGCAGCCCGACCCGGCAGGGCCTCAGGGAACCGGTGGGGAGGGGGGGGGATGGGCCGGACCGGGCCGGGGAGGGAGGGGGAGGGAAAGGAGAGAGGGAGGGAGCGCGGCGGGGGCGGGGCGGGCCCGAGGGGCGGGGCCCCGTCCACGTGACCGGGCGTCCCCTGGCGCGCAAGGTGGAGCGCGCGAGCTGGAAGAGCTGGCGTGCGAGCGTGCGAGCGTGCGAGCTCCGGTGCTGGGTCCGATCTCGGTCTAGTTAGATGTTCGGCGCTGTCCCAGCGGATGGCTGTGTATGCTGGCTAACGCTCCACGCCTCAGTTTGCTCATCCCAGCTATGGGGATAGCAGTATTTCCTTGCGCAGAGGGAAAGGCTTGGAAAGCGCTTGACACATCCATCTAAGAATGCCATCATTAGCGTAGTGTCTAATAACAGTGGCTATAAGGATAACCTTGATTATTCTCCTGTCAATGTTCTCCTACTTCGTCCCACCACCCTAGCACACTCAGTGGGTGCTCACAAAATAGAATTGTTGAGTGAGCAAGTGTAGGCGGGTCTCTGGCTTCCTTGCTTCCCAAAGTAGGGAAGCGTTCCTAGCCCTGGGCTGAGCCTGGAGTCACTTAAATCAGTTCTCACCCCTTAGATTCATGATTTTCTTTACCCCTCCGTATCTCAGCTTCTTCCCCTGTAAGGGCCGGTTGGGGCCGGTGGATTCTTAGCAACTCCGTTGTATTGTGTCATTTTAAGAGAGGGAGTCTGGAACTCTTTTCACAGATATTTATTGAACACGCACTGTGTCCTGTGTGCGGTAGCCACGCTCACCACCACCGCCAGCGTGCCCCTCTTGCCTCAGTCAGAAATCTGAGCGTGCCACTCTTACAAAAATGATTCAACAGAATCTAGGGGTGTGTGTGTGTGTGTGTGTGTGTGTGTGTGTGTGATGGAAGCAGCAGAGTGAGAACTATTCGAGTGGAGAAAGGGCATGGGGGAGTAAAGGTGAGGCAGGGTGAATATAAACGTGATATGCATGTACTAAAACCTCGTAATGAAACCTATTAATAATTATTTAAGGATTTATTTTTATGTGTGTGAGTGTATTGCCTGCGTGTATGTATATTTGTACGTATGTTCATCACACGTGTATGTATGTACACCACACACGTGTGCCTGGTACCTGTGGAGATCAGAAGTGTCAGATCCCCTGGAACTGGAGTTACAGAGTTGAAAGCTGTCATGTGGGTGCTGGGACTCCCCGGGTCCTCTGGAAGAGTGGTGAGTGCTCTTAACTACTGAGTCCCCTCTCTAGTCCCTAAAATCATTTTTTAAAATTAAAAAACTCAGGCAGGCAAGATGGATTAATGGGTAAATGCACTTGCTCACCAAGCCTGACAACCTGAGTTCCCTCAGAAACCCACATGATGGAAGGAGAGAAATGACTCCCACAAGTTGTGTTCTGGCCTCTGAGCATGTGTAGTCTACACCCATGTGTACATGCATACACACACATTAAATTTTTAAAAATGTCTTATTAATGCATATGAGTATTTTTTTTTTTTTTTTTTGGTTTTTGAGACAGGGTTTCTCTGTGGAGCTTTGCACCTTTCCTGGATCTTGCTCTGTAGACCAGGCTGGCCTCGAACTCACAAAGATCCGCCTGCCTCTGCCTCCTGAGTGCTGGGATTAAAGCATATGAGTATTTTGCCTGCGCGCGTGTGTGTGTGTGTGTGTGTGTGTGTGTGTGTGTGTGTGTGTGTGTGTGTACCATGTGCATACCTGGTGCCTGTGGAGGCCAGAAGAGGGCATTGGATCCCTTGGAACTGCAGTTAGAGATGTTTGTAAGCCACCATGTGGGTGCTGGGAACTAAACCGTTGAATGCCATGCAGCCATTTTTTTAACATAATAAAAAATTTTAAATCCATTTGATGTCTCTTCACTGCTCTTAAGCTAAAGGACAAACGAATCTCTCCCTGGTGCGGTCACTGCGTTTTACCAGGCTTATTTCGGGTCCTCTTCCCTTCTCTCTGGCTCCCTGTACATGCTGATCCCACTGCCTGGGATTCTCTCCCACACAGAGAACCTTCACGTCCCAAGTCAAACATGGCTACCTCACGGATATGATCTCTCCTTGCACAGGTTCTCTTGGCAGCATGGACTTACCAACTGAGCGAACTGGATTGTTTATTATCCTTGCCACTAGGCTGGACTCATTAAGCTGGCTGCTGTGTCCTCTGTAAGTAGCACAGTGTCTGATAGAGAGTAGATACTAAGTGAGTATGTGGATCCTATGTGCCATTCTATGTTCCAGGCTAATGATCTTAAAAATATGGAGGACCAAGGGTGAGCCACGAAGATCTCACGATGTAGCCCTGTCTGGCCTTGAACTCAGAGATTCACCTGCCTCTGCCACCTGAGTGCTGGGATTAAAAAGCATGTACAATCACTTCCCAAGCCTTTTCTTTTTTAAAATAACTTTTTATTATGGTATATTAACCGTCATACAACACAATAGGTTTCATTATGACATTTTTATATTCATGTATGTTATACTTGGATCCTATTTACTCAATGATGTGCTCTTCTGTACATCCTCCTTCCTCCCCCTGGTCCCTTCCTCTTCCCAAATAGTCCCTTTTCTACTTCTGTGTCCTTTTTTAAAAAACATCTAAATTCCACATGTGAGAGAAACATGCAATATTTGTCTGTTCTGAGAATGGCTTATTTTGCTTATCATAATGATCTCTGGTTGCAAGCATTTTCCACCAAATGACATGATTTTATTTTTATTTTTTAATTCACTTTAACTTTCATTCATGTGTCTAGGGAGAGGGTGCATGTGCCTGTCTAGGGGGGGGGCAGTGCCCAAAGAATCTAGAGGAGGGCTTCAAATTCCCTAGAGCAGTTGAACTCGGGTATTCTGAAAGAGGAGCTAGTGCTTTTAACTGCTGTGTTGTGTCTTCAATTCCCTATTTTTATTTTTATTTTTTGAAACAGGACATTTATATATCCCTGGCTGGCCTAGAACTTACTGGCTCCCAACTCAGAGAGATCTGGCTGCCTCTGCCTCTCAAGTACTGGGATTAAAAGTACACTTCTATATACAACTGATTTCATTCTTTTTATGGCTAAATAATATTTAATTATGTATGTACAACAATGTCTTTATCCATTGATGGGATTCTAGGCTGATCACATAGCTTGGCCATTGTGAATAATACCACAGTGAACACGAGTGTTCGGGCATCTCTGTCACATATTAACCTTGACTCTTTTAGGTATATTTACATAAGAATAGTATAGCTGGATCATATGGTAGGCCTTTTATTAATTGTTTTAGGAACAGTCACACTAATTTCCATGGTGACTGGATTAATATATGTTCTCATTTTTCATCTTATAAAAAGGTATAATTTATATATAATAAAATAAAAAAAATCTTATACATGAACCTAATTTTTTTGTGGTGCTGGGAACTTGAACTCAGGACCTTGCACATGCTAAACAAATGCTCTCCCACTAAGCTATATCTCTGGTGCACCTAATAAGTCTTTTATTTATGTTCCTGTGGTACCACCACTCAGATCAAGCTGCAAATCAGTTAACCAAGAAAGTTTCCTTCCAGTGACTGTCCCTCCCATTTGAAGTGAGAATTATCCTAATTTCTAACATCATAAACTTATCTTGTCACTTTCTGAACTTCTTATAAACAGAATATATAACATATACTCTTTTGTGTTAGCCTAAAACTGTGACACAGCAAATGGATCCCTTTGGTTTATGGTACAGTGAATGAACTGCTTGGTTAATCAGTCTGAATGCTGGAGTGAAAAGTGATTGATGACATCATCCTGCAGTGATGGGGTTCTGACAACAACCAGCCACCAGCAGTTAGAAATGACATCATTCACACATCTACCAGCTCCACAAAAACTTCAGAGGTGTGAAAACTCTGAAAGGGTCCAGAAACTCAATAATAAGAAGAATCTCATTTTTCAGCTTGAAAACTGGGTGAAAGACTTGAATATAGACATATCTCCAAAGACAATATGCAAACGGCAAATAAGCACAAGAAAACATTTTAACTTTAGGAGTGACCAGTAAAATGCAAATCAGAATCACAATGAAGGATCTGGGTAAATGGCTCATGGAGAATACAAGCAGAGGACTGGTTTAACTTTCCAGCACCCATGTAAAAAGCCCAGAGTGATGGTCTGCACCTGTAATCCTAGTGCTGGGGAGGCAGAAAGGCCTCCCTGGGCTTCATGTCTTGTTTTGCAGAGTGGGTTCCAGGTTCAGTAAGAAACTGTCTTAAAAAAAAAAAAGTGATAAAGGAAGAAACCCAGCTTCTAATCTACACAACACACACACACACACACACACACACACACACACACACACACACGCACATGCAT